CCCGAGGGAACCAAGAGGCCCCAGCAGGATTGGACTCGGGTGATTACTACACGTCACCTCATCCTGCCCCTACTGCTCCCTCTGCTCTCATGGGACAGGGTCACTTTTTAGTGCAGCATCTCTTCACTCATTCTCTCTATCCTGGCAGAGCACAGGCACTTAGTATCAGTTGTGGACAGAACTTGGATTTCCAGCAAATGGACTTACTTTTTGCCTAACTCTGTCATTGGCACGGGCTGAGATCTGAAAGAGTGCTTTGGTCCCACGGGAATTCAGCCATCTTTCAGCTCCTTCTCCTCACTTCTGCTGCTCCTTGTCTGCAGGGGCTCTGATGCCTGCCCAGGGCAAGATAAGAATATGGAGAATCTTCTGGGGGATTAGGTCTTCTACCCACGAGAAGCTGAACCCCAGGGTGGGGGTTTCAGGAGAAGAGGACCTTGGGATTCTCTGGGTACCAGGACATTCTCTCTTCTCTAGGACCACACGATTTGCCTCATTCCCTGACTACCTGGTCATCCAGATCAAGAAGTTCACCTTCGGCTTAGACTGGGTGCCCAAGAAACTGGGTATGGTGGCTGGGATGAGCAAGGGAGGTTAAGCAGAAAATGCTAGAAAAAGAAGGGGCCTTAACACATGTAAACTAGTGTTTCTCAAACTTTCCTCTGAAAGGAGAAAATATTACCTGAAATGTTTCAAAGTGTGTCTCGTTTGAAAAGCACTGACTAAAAATATTAAAAGACTTCTTTGATTTTATAGTTATGATTTACAACCAAAAGTGATGTTCATTGTTTTATTTTTGTGATTGATAAGATGTTTTCATTTTGACTATCTTGAAACAATTCATTCTTATGGGTCTCAGAGGCCCCTGACGACTTGGAGAACTGCTGATGTAACTTTATTTCCTCGATCAGTTGAGACCACAGAAGTATAGAATCATTCTGTTGCACAGGTTGGAGCCCCACTTCCCTGCCCAGAGCTCAAGTGTGGTAGATCGAGGACTAGAATCCAGGTCTCCTGACTCCCAGGCCCACAGTTATTTTTATTACCCTGGGACCCCTAAGATTGGTACTGCTCTGTGCAGCTCCTTACTATAGAGCAGTGCCAAGACAAGGGGAAGGGGCTGGAGATTTCCAAAGTGCTTTTTCAGGGAGGGCCTCTGGAAGCTGCTGAGGTGACCCTTTGCCTGCCATTCCACTTACAGATGTGTCCATTGAGATGCCAGAGGAGCTGGACATCTCCCAGTTGAGGGGTGCCGGGCTGCAGCCTGGAGAGGAGGAGCTGCCTGACATTGCCCCACCCCTGGTCACTCCGGATGAGCCCAAAGGTAGCCTTGGTTTCTATGGCAACGAAGACGAAGACTCCTTCTGCTCCCCTCACTTCTCCTCTCCAACATGTTAGTGACTCTTCTTCCTGCCCGTCTCTCTCCCTTGCTGACGTGGGTCTTCTCTGCCTGCCTCCCCGTGGCCCTGTCCTTTGCATTTCTCCTGTCCTCCCTTTCACATTTCCTCTGCCCGCTTGATGGATGTGAGGAGTGACTAGAGCACTCCCAGCCACATTCTCTGTGTGGATGGCAGTCGCACTGGCTAATCACCTCTACCCTTGTTACCTCACGGGTTGGGGGTCGGGGCGGGTACCATACTCCAGAAATGGGGCCCATTCTGTGAGAATGGGCAAGGAAGGGGATCCATGGGGGATCTTTAGCCTCAGTCCTGCACCTTTAGGATACGGCTGGACCCACATTATGTTGTGTTGTCATTTTAGTTCTGGAATAAGGTGCCAGGCCATGGAAGAAAAATGCATGGAATGAGTGGTTGGAAAGAGGGCTAGAGGGCTGGACTGTGTGAGGGAGGAGGAGCAGACAGTGGCCCAAGGAGACAGGTCACAGTGCCCACACTTCTCCCACCACAGCACCCATGTTGGATGAATCAGTCATCATCCAGCTAGTGGAGATGGGCTTCCCTATGGATGCCTGCCGCAAAGCTGTCTACTACACAGGCAACAGTGGGGCCGAGGCCGCCATGAACTGGGTCATGTCGCACATGGACGATCCAGGTAGGCAAGGGTGGGTAGCAGGGCGGGGCAAGACCACTATGCTCCCCTAAACACTTCAACCCCTTCACCTCCGCAGATTTTGCAAACCCCCTCATCCTGCCTGGCTCCAGCGGGCCTGGCTCCATAAGTGCAGCAGCTGACCCCCCTCCAGAGGACTGTGTGACCACCATTGTCTCCATGGGCTTCTCCCGGGACCAGGCCCTGAAAGCTTTGCGGGCCACGGTATGGGCTGCCCCCAGCTGAGGACTGGGAGCCTGTGGGGAAGAAGGGGGTGGGAGTGAGGTTCCATCCTTCATGAGTAAGACCAGGGACAACTGGAATGGTATTGCCAAGGCCAGGGCTGCACCCTTCTGTGGCTGTGATGAAGGAGCTGAGGCCTTCACTGGTAGTTTTCTTGCCACAAACTTGTTACAAACAGTAATGCTTCCCTCTTCTCCAAGAACAATAGTTTAGAACGGGCTGTGGACTGGATCTTCAGTCACATTGATGACCTCGATGCAGAAGCTGCTATGGACATCTCGGAGGGCCGCTCAGCTGCCGACTCCATCTCTGAGTCTGTGCCAGTGGGACCTAAAGTCCGGGATGGTCCTGGAAGTGAGTGTCCCTGGGAAACAGAACAGGCCTGGTGGCATCTAGCCAGTCTGCTACGCCAGATCCTCATTCCAAGGCAGCTCTGCTTCCCTCAGGGGGCAGAGGGGTCAGAAGCTTTTCCATGAACGTGACTTCTGAAGGTGGGATTCTAGGAGGCTGAGACAGACTTTTGATCCAATATATGCCCCGCCTTCCTTGACCCTCATGTCCTGAGTTTGAGCTGTTAGATACATCTTTGGACTGTCACTCAAGGATTCCTCTCTCATTGTCTTCTCTGCCCTCTGTCTCCCCTTCCCTAGAGTATCAGCTCTTTGCCTTCATTAGTCACATGGGCACCTCTACCATGTGTGGTCACTACGTCTGCCACATCAAGAAGGAAGGCAGGTGAGGGAGGGGCTGCAGTGTGCATTTTGAATGGGGGAGTGGAGGTGGGAATGAGTGGGGGCATCCTGGAAGTCCTTGGAGTATTTGTGGGAGGAGGTAAAAGATGGCAAATACACCAGGAATTGACAATGCCTGAAGGCAGGGATTGGCGAACTGCAGCCCAAGGGCTGAGTCTGGGCACCGGCTTTTATACATAAAGTTTTAATGAACACAGCCACACTTAGTCATTTATGTATTGTCTGTGGCTGTTTTCACGCTGCAACAGGAAAGTTGAGTAGTTGTGTCAGAGACCAGATGGCCTGTAAAACCTGAAATATTTACTGTGTGGCCCTTTACAGAAAAAGTTTGCTGACCCCTGCCTAACAGGAATGGGTGGGGGGTAGCTGTAGAGATACTGCAGGATCTGAAGACACTGAGGAAGGGAAGGGACCCCTGTGAGACTGGGATGCTCCCTTCAGACAGGTAGCGGCTGGACTGTAGGTTTGGGGGCCCAGTCAGAGAATGTTGGGAGCCTTTGCCCCAGGATCATCTCCAGGGGCCATGTCAGAGAGACTGAGTTGATGCAGTGTGGAATGCCCAGTTTGTTCCTCCTTTTCCGCTCCTTTCTCACTTCCCCAGATGGGTGATCTACAATGACCAGAAAGTGTGTGCCTCTGAGAAGCCACCCAAGGACCTGGGCTACATCTACTTCTACCAGCGAGTGGCCAGCTAAGAGCCTGCCCTCTGACCCCTTACCACTGAGGGCAGGGGACAGACCACCTGGCATGAGGGCTGAGGGCTGAGGGATGGACTTCAGCACCCCCTGCTCTGTACCCTTTTTCTTTTTGTCCCCAGCAGCAGGGAAGAAGCTAGAGGCCATAGGAAAATGGCCAAGCAAAGTGGGTGGGCACTCGAGAGACTCGGGATAGAGCAGGAAGGGGACGGAGGGCCGGCGCCTGTGTGTGAGGAGACTTTGTTGCTTTCCCTGACCCTTGACCGCACAGTGCTCTGCTTCCCTGTGTAATCCCGCCGGCCCCTGGTGTGGAGGGGGGCTTGTGTGTGTGTGTGTGCCTGGGTGTAGCTTTGTGCAGCCTCTTCTGCAGGAGGGGGTGTCCGTGCCTCCCCTCCCCCTTTGTGTTTGCTCCCTGTGTGGTGGGTCAAGGAGGGATATGAGGGAAATGGGGGCCCCCCTCGCTCTCCTGCCTCACTCTTTCCCCCACCGTCTCTTCCCTGTCCTTCTCTGGAAAATGCCAAAATACACGATGTGAATAAAAGTACAATGGCTAAATTGTGCCCTCTTTGATACCTTGGAAGAGACTTATCTTCCCTGGGGCTAACAGGAAGGCCGGTTTCCTCCAGCAGTCACAGAAGAGGAGGCCTAAGTGGGTATTTCCCAAATGTCCCTAGAGGCCAGGGAGCCCTGGGCCTGGGCTCCAGGCCCTGCAGTCTTGTCAGGCCTTGGCCAGCTGGAGCAGAGTGGGCTACTCCTGGTGTGTGTGTGGGGAGGGGGTGGCTGTAGACTCTGAACTGCCTCTTTCTTAGCTACACAGTTCCTATGCCAATGTGGGCGGTCCCTCCCCCTCTAAACCCTGTTACTTGACCAGTAACTGTGGGGCTAGACTCCCTGGGTCGGTCAAAGGTTCCTGCTCAGCAGTCGGGGATGTAGTTGTACCCCGATGGGCGGAGGGGGTTCCTTTTCCCACAGTTGGAGAGATGACCCTCAGAGCTCCCTCAGTCCCCCGAGCAGTGTGGTCTAAGGCCAAGCGGGGGTCGGACCTGCCGGCTAGCTCCCCTGGGACCACCTCTGGCCTCTGGAGGGCTGCAGTGGTGAGTAGGGGTTCCCCTGAGCACAGGGGCTTACAGTTCTCGCCTTCTCCCCAAAGTCAGGCAATTGAGGCTGAAGCGACTGGGCCCCCGGACGCCCCTAGAACGTTGCTACAAGAAAGGGGGTAACGTTAGAACATTGCAACACCGGCGGCGGGCGCGCAGGCGGGGCCAGGGGGCAGGGCTTCCCGGCAGGGGCCGGGCTGAGGATGGCCGAGCACGGGCAGGAGGCGGAGTTCCGCCTCACCGCGCTCTACATAAGCGGGCCGTGGCAGCGGCTGCGCGCTGATACTGACCTTCAGTGTGCTGGTCCCAGCGCCATGGCGCCCTCCAGGAAGTTCTTCGTTGGGGGGAACTGGAAGATGAATGGGCGGAAGAAGAGTCTGGGGGAACTCATCAGCACTCTGAACGCGGCCAAGCTGCCGGCCGACACCGGTGAGCCCTCGCCTGGGAGGGTCGGGGCCGGGGTTGGGGGGGTCGGGCGTGGCAGCGCCCTCTCCCGACCTCTCTTAGCCGGGTGTCCGCGTGGACCTGGATGCAGGGATGGGGACAAGGACTATTGGGGGTCCGGGCCTTGACCCCGCAGCGCCCCTGGTTCCGCAACCGCAGGACCAGGGGTGCGTCGAGAGGGAAAGGTGGGGCCCCACTTAATGGTGCCCTCGGACTGTGGGACAGGAAAGGACTTCTTGGGTCATCGGGAGGAAGATGGCCCCGGGCGCGGACTGGGGCTGCACCAGCCAGGAGCCGGGGGTAGAAGCGGAGCCTAGCCTCTGTGGGCGACTGGGAGAGGCTGGCGACAGCCTGCGAATGTGGGGGAGGAGGCTGAGCGCGCGTGCGGGCCTCCCGCTACCTGCCCCCGGCCGCCGGCCCCGTGCGCCGCCGCACGTAGCCCGAGACTCCTCCCCGCGCCTTGCTGCCTGCTCAGGCCCCCGCTGAGCTCCCTCGGCCTCCGGAGCTACGCGCACTGATCCTTTCCCCTCGGCAGCCTGGATGACTCCTGCTTTCCGCCGAAGGGGCTGAGCAGGTGCCAAACAGGCTGAGCCATTTGGGAATAAGGAGCTATCCTACAGCTTTCTCCGTTTTCTCCTGGAAACGGGAGAGCGCAAGGCCTCTATGAGTCAGTCCACTCCCTGCCACGCACGGGCAGAGAGTGCTGTTCTCAGTCCTTCTCCTCTCACCCACCTAAATCATAGAACCACGGGCCTGATCAAAAGAGGCATCCCCTTCTGGTTTATTCCCCAGAGACCCCAGTACAAACCCCAGGAGCTGGCCCCTTCTGCTTTTGGTAAAAATCCTTGCCTTGCCTTTCCTATATGGGGATGGGCTATTTTAGAAGGGAGGCGGGGTTGGCCCCAGAGAATGCTGAGTCTAGGAGGTGCCCAGGCCCAGAATAGCCCGGGAAATCAGAGCCACAGCTGTTAAAAGAGCAGAGGGCAAGGCGAGGGCCGTGGCCTCTGAGGGGCATCTGGAAGGCCCAAGGAGTTGGATACAGGCCCAGCCTGGGCTGGGAAGTGGACACAGATCATCTTGGTGGAGTGAAAAGGAGGGGAAAGCAGAACTAAGAAAGAGGCTGAAGGCTGGGGGCTCCAGAGCCCAGGATGCAGTGTGGAGAATGAAGGCTTCCTGTGATCTCATCCCCCGGTGCCACCATCTTCTCCTCAGAGGTGGTCTGTGCAGCCCCCACTGCCTACATTGACTTCGCCCGGCAGAAGCTAGATCAGAAGATTGCTGTGGCTGCGCAAAACTGCTACAAAGTGGCTAATGGGGCTTTTACTGGGGAGATCAGGTGAGATGCAGGCGGGAGAGTGGTGTGTGGGGACCCTGCCCTCACTTTCCTCATTGAGGGGAAGGCCACAGGGTGGGCTCCCTGCTGAACCAGGGCTTATCTCTTCCTTTAGCCCTGGCATGATCAAAGACTGTGGAGCCACGTGGGTAGTCCTGGGGCACTCGGAGAGAAGGCACGTCTTCGGGGAGTCAGATGAGGTTAGTAACCAGGAGAGGAGATAAGAGATGCCTTATTCCAAGAGGGGTGTCTCACCAAGTGTGTTCCTCAACAGCTGATTGGGCAGAAAGTGGCCCACGCCCTGGCGGAGGGACTTGGAGTAATCGCCTGCATTGGGGAGAAGCTAGATGAGAGGGAAGCTGGCATCACTGAGAAGGTTGTTTTTGAGCAAACCAAGGTCATCGCAGGTATCTCGGGAGAAAGGGATCTTTGAGCCTAACCAGGGCCACGGAGGCACAGAGGGTGGGGTCCACTGCCCTCCAGCCTGACTTGATCCCCTTGCTGGAAAGGAAAGGGGAGTCAGAACCCTTGCATCCTCCCTATCACTTCTGCTCCTGCCCCTGATGGTATAGATGCCCCTTAGAGTTTCTTCAACAGCCACCAGAAGGCAGTAGGCCACCACTGTTGTTCATTCTCTGGGAAAGGAGCTGGAGAGCTCCTTACTGTTCACCCTTCCATCTGTGATCTCTGTCCCACAGATAACGTGAAGGACTGGAACAAGGTTGTCCTGGCCTATGAACCTGTGTGGGCCATTGGTACTGGCAAGACTGCAACACCCCAACAGGTAACCACCCCAGGAGCCCTGCCTCATCCTCCCCTGCTGTGGTAGAACTGGACAGCCACAGAGACCATCGAGGCCACCCTCTCATTTTAAAGACAGGCCCTCAACCCAGAGAAGGAGAGTGACTTGTCCAAGGACATCCATTCCAGGGCCTAGGTGGGATTGGAGCCCTTGTGTTCTGACTTAGATCCCAGGGTTCTTGCCCCAAAACCACACTGCCTCTCTCCACTGGTACCCCGGGTTTCTCCCCTTTGAGTGAAAGGCAGAAAGTCTTACTTAGTCTGGCTTCTTGTTCTAGGCCCAGGAAGTACATGAAAAGCTCCGGGGATGGCTTAAGTCCCACGTCTCTGATGCAGTGGCTCAGAACACCCGCATCATTTATGGAGGTAAGTCGGTTTGGCTCCATTCTGAGGTGGGGTGGGCTGAGAACTAGACTGAGCGCTCCTTAGATGTGGAGGTAGAGATGGAGTATACCCATCCCATCCCCGACCATTCCCTCTCTCTTCTCCTTTCCCAGGGTCTGTGACTGGGGCAACCTGCAAGGAGCTGGCAAGCCAGCCTGATGTAGATGGCTTCCTCGTGGGTGGTGCTTCTCTCAAGCCTGAATTCGTGGACATCATCAGTGCCAAACAATAAGCCCCATCCATCTCCCCTGCCCGTCCTGCTAAGCCAGGGACTAGGTAGCTCAGAAGCCCAATAATTGCATCCCCAGCTCCACCCCCCCCACACACATGCTTCTGGTCGTGTCACCTGCCCCCTCTCCTGGCCTAATCCAAACTGTACCTCTTCCTTTACTGTTTACACCTTACCCTGTAATGGTTGGGACCAGGCCAATCCCTTCTCCACTTACTGTAATAGTTGGAACTAAATATGTCACCAAGGTGGCTTCTCCTTGGCTGAGAGGTGGAAGGGGTAGAGTTTGCTCTTGGGTCCCCTCAGTCCCCAGTGAGGGAGGAGAAAGAAGCCATCCTCCTCTCCCATCTCGCACCATGAGGCCAAGGGCTGAGAGACAGCCCGGTCCTCCCCTCCAAGGCCAGGGGTGCTGCTCTCTCCCTTGGTGCCAACGCCTGTGTGTGTTGTGTATGTGAGCAGTCCCACGTGTGGGGGAAATAAACAGCTGGAAGTAAGCCTTGTTGTTTGTCCTTCTTCACAATACTTGCCCATATCATCTCTCTCTCTCTTTTTTGAGGCAGCCAGAGGACCCTTGTGCAAAAAAATACCACGAACAGGTTTCCGCAACAGCACATCTCTTAGTATTTTTACTTGAAAAAATGTCTTTCGTACCAGGCTGCCACAGCCTTGAATAACAGCTCCTCCCTTCCACCCTGCCTCTGGGTGGCTCTGGGGCTGTTGTCTCCGGAGCTTGGGTTGGGGTAGGGGCCCAGCCTCACCTCCCCCACCCTCACTGGCTTGATGTAGCTGGTCTAGGCCAGCAGTGCCTCCTTCCCCCCACCCAGGGGAGAGGGGTGTCAAGGCCCCAGCGCAGTCTGTGGTATCACTGGTAGAGCAGGTAGCGCTTCATGGCAGGGGGCAAGGGCAGAGCAGATACCTGGCCAAGCCGGGTATCTCCCAGGGCGTGGCGCACACACAGGCGGCTCAGGTGCAGAAGGGAGTGTGGCTCCGCTGGGAGAAAGAAGGAGAGGAAGTTAGGTAGGAGTGCAGCCACCAGCCAGATATCCTCAAACTACTGGGTCCTGCCCAGGTTCCCTTCTGCTTTTCTGCTCCGAGTCTGCTCCCACCTTGCTTGAAAGGGAGATCTAAGGCACCTCCATCTGCTCTTGGGGTGAGAGGCATCTCAGAATTCATCCATCCCCAGTCAGAGCTGGGGGTGCTATAGCTAAGGCCCAAGGTGGCTCTGATGACGGTGGAGCTGGCCCAGGCTTTGATTCCAGAGAGGCCTTGGAGCCAGGGATGATGAGGTGAGAGGAAGGATTGCCCTCCTCTCCTCTCGAATAGCTCACATGGGTGACAGGAGGAGAGGCATCCTTGTTCTGCTGAAGACTGCAGCTGCAGAGAATGTTCAGTTCAATCAGCCCCAAGCCCTGGCCCCATCAGTTGCCAAGGAGACCCTTCCCCTGCAGCCCCACCCCGAGACTCAGCCTCCTTCACTGCTCCCTTCCTGGTGCCCAGGGCCTCAATGGATCCTTCCTGGGGTTTGACTGAGGAAGGAAGTAGGTATGTGTCACAGACAGGTCAGAGCCCAGAGACTCTGGTCCATACCCTGGGTGCCTGGCACTCCCAGTCCTCTTTCTATTGGACTTGGACACCTAGCTCAGTACCCATCTACCCTTTGCACCTCTTGCTCCATGGGCTGATATCGCCTGTAAGGCCCTAACTCTGAATCCCTGGAGTGTCTCCCTCCAGTCTGAGGGATCACCACTTACTAGCAAGTTGCTTTCTCAAGCCTCACTTTTACCTCTATTGCTTTTGGGAGGATTACATCAGGTAACAGCTGTGAAGACCCTTAGCCATTTCTGGCACTGAATAGGGGCAGGAGGCAGGTGAGATGAAGGCCCATTCCCTCTGTTCTTGTAAGGCGCTGAGCTGCCATCCCAAAACACAGCCACCGGTGACAGAACCCTCTCCCCACACCTGCCCCAGGCCTCACCTCTCCTTTCGCCCAGGTAGCTGATGCGGACCTGGCACTGGCCCCAGACAGCGCTTACTGCCGGATAGAGGGTCCGGCCCTTCAGTCCGCGGAAAGCTGGCCCCAGGTAGGTGCCCCCAATTGCGTAGCCCAGAGTTCCCTCCTCCATGTCCAGAACTACCAGCAGCCTCTCCGGCACCTCCAGCTGCTCACCCTGAGGTCCGGCTGGATACTGGGGGGCCCCGGGCCCCTTGCTCTGATGGTACAGCTTCCCCCGGCCAATGTCCCAGCCCCAGGACTCGCTGTTGCTGCCCAGCAGCGCCGCATAGTGGTCAGCCTGCAGCGGGGCGAGGGCTGTGGCCACGCCCACCACGGCGTGGGTGCCCCTCTGCTCGCGGGGCCAGCAGATCTCCCAGGCGTGCAGGCCCCTCGAGTAGCCCCTCTTACCCCGGGCCCCATCAGTGCTCTGGGCCACGGGCCGCCGCTCAAAGCACAACCCCCCTTCCTTGACCTCGATGTTCTCTGAGCAGTCCTTGGGGTTCCAGCCGTGGCGCCGTTGGGCCCCCAGGTCAGGAGGCGGCGCAGACAGCAGCTCCTCCAAGCCCTCTGGACAAGAGAGGTCAGGGTACAGGGCGTGTGGGGTGGGGGTGCTGCTGCTGCTGCTGCTGCTGCCCCCTGCCAGGGCCGTCTGGCCCATGGAGGTGAGTAGCCGGAGGACTCCCCGAAAGAGTCTTGCTGGGGCGTCTCTCTTCTGAAAGTTGAGCTCCCGTTCGGGATTGACCTGGAGAGGAGTTGGAGAGGAGGAGGGTGTGAAGTGCGGGATCCTGGATGGGGTTCCTCACCCAGGCGCTCCATCCTCCCATCCATGTTTGCCCATCGCCCCTCTCTTCCCCCTTCGCTTCCCAAAAGCTCCCAGGCCCATCACCTTGTCCTCACCCATCTGTCCCGGTCTCCCTAGACTCTCGCGAGTTCTCCTCCTTTGGGCCTCTCCGGGGGCCGTCACCCTTGCCTGCACCGTGCCCCCGTCACGGTCCCCGAACCTCGCTTGGCTTCCCAGGCCGGGAGGTCGCCGGGCCTCGGGAGGAGGCCAGCCGAAAGCCACGGCGCACCGGGCGCTGATCGCCGGCCGCTTCCGCCTCCAGCACCTCCCCCAGGCCCCGCCCCGCCCGACGTCCCGCCCCCAAGGGGGCACCAGGGGCGGTTAACCCTCCCGTCGCCGCCCCAGGTCGCGCGCGGCCCCGAGGCCACGCCCCCGTAGAGCCCACTTCTGGCGGTTAACCTCTGGTCACCGCCCCACGCGAGGAGGCTCTCCCGGGCGGTTAACCCTTCTCCGGCCGCTACAGAGTCCGCACCCGGGCAGTCCAGGCTCCGAATTAACCCTTTGATAGTATCATCGCTTTGGGATCCCTGGAGGTCTGTTCTCCATCGTCAAGACCTTTGAGCAGCCTGGCTACCAACTCCTCAGCCCCTAGAGATAAGGGGCATGGGGTCTAGGAGGGGCTTCCATAGTGTTGACATCTGTTTCCACGGCCCTTTGATTCTGGGTCACTGTTTCTGGGCTGGTCTCTTTCTAGCCCAGTTGTGAGTCAGCCTGTTGTATGTCTGAGGTTTGGAACTCTGTGCTTTGAGCCTAGGTGTCATAGGTCTCCATTGCTGTTCTAGTCTTCATCCTGGACGTCAATCCATTCCTGAGCTGTTGGTTTCGTTTGGTAGTGCAATGGTTAAGACCTTGGTTGTGAGTGAAGCTATGCCACTAATTAGCTGTGTGACCTTGGGGAGGTTGCCAAACTTCTCTAAACCTGTTTTCTCTTATGTAAAATGGGAATGATGATGGTACTTACCTCATAGGGTTGTTGTGGAGTTGAAATAATTCAGGTAAAGCACTTAGCACAGAGCCTGGTACATAGTATGCACTCACTAAGCATAGCTATTATTGTTTACCTAACATTTACTAAGTGCCCACTCTATAGAAAGGCCATATGATATAGTGGTGAAAGATGCTAACTGTGGAGCCAGGCTGACTGGGTGTGACTCCTCCAAGGCCAGTATGCACATGACCTTGGGCAAATTACTGAACCTCCCTGGTGCCTGTTTCTTCCTCTGTAAAATGGAGATACTATTCGGTATCTACTGCATGGGGTGTAGTGAGGGTTCTGTGAGGTTATATATACATAAAGCACTTAGTTTCCGGTTCAAATTTAATCATTTGTGTTAAGCACTGAAGATTAAGCATTGAATCCTCAAAGAAGTTAGAAGGACATTTATAAAACAGCTTATCATGTAGTAGATGAAATTATGGAGATATCATGAAAGTATTATGGGAGTAAAAAGGATGGGACTTCTAATAGGGGGTCAAGCAGTTCGGAAAGAAAAATGTCCTGGAGGAGATGACACTGGGCTGAATCTTAAAGATTGACTAGAAATTGGTCTGAGAAGTGGTTCTGCAGCTTGGGGGCTGGGTTAGGGTTGCTGCATGTAGAAGGCATTCCAGACAGAGGGGTCAGCATGAAAAAAGCCGGAATCAGTAGGTGGGTTTGGGGAAGTTCAAAGACTTCAGGGTTGCTGCAACAGGAAAGGAAGCAGGAGAGACAAGCCTAGAGAAGTCAGTGCCAGATCTTGAGGCCTTGCAGGCCAGTTAAGGAATGCAAATATCTTGTAGGACAGGCCAGTAATGGGGAGCCACATATATCTTCTTCTACAGATAGAAGCAGGAGGGGAACATGGTCAGACACTCATTTTAGAAAAACCTCCCTGGCAGCAATGTAGAGGAGGTTTCCAGGGAAATAGGACTGGAAGCAAGGAGACTGGTTCCAGCAGCCCAGGTGACAAGTGTCAAAAGCCTGAAATAGGGAAGTGGAAAGAAGATGAAAAGAATTCAAGAAACACTGATAAAACTGCAAGATTTGGTGACTAATTGGATGCTGAGGCAGGGAAAGGAAAGAGAATAAGGGAGGTTTCTAGCCTGGAAGACTCTCTTGGAAGGTGGTAGCACTAATGAAGATGGAGATGACAGAAAGAGGAGCAACAGGGGCAGGAGGGTGGGAGAGAGGTGGTGAGTTCAGTTTAGGACGTGTTTTTTGAGGTGCCTGAGCAACAACCAGATGGAACCATCTAGAACACACTTGAAAATGGCAGGTCTGGAGGGGGAGTGAGAGGCCTGGGCTGGAGATATAAATCTGTGAGCTGCGTCAGCCTGTAGTCAGGAGTTGAACTATGAGAATCAATGAGGGAACCCGGAGAGAGTGTGTAGAGTGAGAAGAGGGTCAAGGAGGATACAGTGCAGCAGAAAATTCAGGTTTGATTACTTACAAAATTTTTTTTTGTCGTTGGCAACTTTGGTGAGAGAGCACATGTGGGTTGTGGAAGGTGGGAGTCTGGCTGAACTGGCACTTTCTGTGTGTCAGGCACTGTGCTACAAGCTTCACATTTTTAGGGGATAGAGAGTCAGAGAGGTTAGGTGACAATTATGTCTCATAGTCAAAATTACCCTTGAAAATCCCTTCTTACCCCATCTATTAGGTACAGCATATGTTAGTTTTGTGTAAAATACAGTATGTGGCAGTATGTATACAATGATGTACAGAATAAAATTTTATAATATTTTAAGAGAAAGAAGAAAGCATATTAAAAAGAAAGATATGAGGGCCAGCACCGTGGCTTAGCGGTTAAGTGCGTGCTCCGCTACTGGTGGCCCGGGTTCGGATCCTGGGCATGCACCGACGCACTGCTTCTCCGGCCATGCTGAGGCCGCGTCCCACATACAGCAACTAGAAGGATGTGCAACTATGACATACAACTATCTACTGGGGCTTTGGGGGAAAAAAAAATGGAGGAGGATTGGCAATAGATGTTAGCTCAGAGCCCGTCTTCCTCAGCAAAAAGAGGAGGATTAGCATGGATGTTAGCTCAGGGCTGATCTTCCTCGAAAAAAAAAAAGATATGAACCTGAACACTTGTCATCCACCCAACCTGGATCGTCTTGCCAGTGTGACGACAAAAATAATGACACTATGACTGTGAGTAGCAGCCTATTGTGAATATTAGTGCAGGACCTGTGTGATAAGCGAGTGGATGAAGGCTTAGGGGACAGAGAGTGAGCATACGCTATGGCTGACTCTAGTTCATCTTGAGAAGTTGACCGTACCTGCTCAGCTGCTGGTTGTTTAAAACATGGTATTCACAAATTGTTGCACTGATCTTGAACTGCTCAAACATTCGTTGATAATAGCTCAAATATTCATAATGCTACAAGTAATTTTAATATTTTACTTTTTTATCAAGATATAACATAAAGTACATTAATCTTAAATTGCTCAATGAGTTTTTACATATTACAAAAATATTTACACATGCTGTGTGACCACCACCAAGAAGATCAAGATCAAGAACACTTCCAGCATCCCAGAAGGTTCCTTCTTACCCTTTCCCTGACACTACACCCCTAAAGGTAACTCCCATTTGACCTTTATCAGTATAGATTAGCTTTGTCTCTTCTTTGATTTCATATAAATGAAACCATATGGTATATATTCTTTTGTGTCTGACTTATTTTTCTCAACATTATGTCTGTGCGAGTCATCCATATTGTTGCATGAAATAGAATGCATTATTTTCATCGTTTTACAGTATTTCAGTGTATAGATATACCACAATTTATCTATTCTACTATTGATAGACATTTGATTTGTTTCCAGTTTTTAGCTGTTATAGAGAAGGCTGCTGTGTACAGTATTGTACAAGTCTTTTGGTGGACCTAGGCACTCATTTTTGTTGGGTATATACTTATGTGCAGAATGGCTGGGTTATAAGGAATCACAATGTACAGATTTAACCACATGTAATTTTGAGGTTTCTCTCCATAGAGGGATTTTATTCAGAAACTAAATCATTCAGGAGCTGGCCCCGTGGTGTAGCGGTTAAGTGCGTGTGCTCGGCTGCTGGCAGCCCAGGTTCGGATCCTGGGCGCGCACCGACACACTGCTTGTCAGGCCATGCTGTGGCAGCATCCCACATAAAGTGGAGGAAGATAGGCACGGATGTTAGTCCAGGGCCAGTCTTCCTCAGCAAAAAGAGGAGGATTGGCATGGATGTTAGCTCAGGGCTGATCTTCCTCACAAAAAAAAAACAAAAAAGAAATCATTCAGGTATTTTGTAGCATGGAGCACTTGAACATATTTATAAAGATTTGAACTGGTCTTCTCTTCCTGTTCATCATATCTTTGTCTTCCGGGGATGATTTTATCAGTTCCTCAAGCTTTTTATTAGTGTTTCTCTGTGGCTCTCAAGAAGTTCTTCAATTTCTTCCACAAAGCCAACATGATCCACTTGCTAGGCCACGTGAACAGTGAGTTTCACTTCTCTGTCAATAGAAAACCCTTAAAGTCCTAAACACATTCTTCCCAACATGCATTGACAGTTTTAGGCTTGATTGTTTCCATGCCTGTTTAATATAAATAATGCAACTGGCAATACCCAAGAATTTCCAACTCTTCCAACTCATTACCACATTAAGACTAGGGTCAGCATTCATGGCTCTGAGAGTCAAAGAGGAATCTCAGCCTCATGTATGTGGCTTTGAAACAGCAAAGCATGCTTAGATCAGCAGAGTGAAGGATAGGGGTGATATTGGGGGGAAGAAGACTTCCATGTCTTTATGAGCACACTCATAAAGTGTGTGGTACCTCGGAGGGGTACTGCTGTGTGTGATCAGCAACACTAAAGCCAAGGCCTTTCTCTCTCAGGTCCTACTTCTAGAATGTGGAACTGTAAAACCAAATCAGGAAAGGTGTTGCAGTCACCCAGGACTTTGCATTTGATTGCTAGAGTACAAGGAGATTTTTTTAGGGCACTGGGATTTGTATCCCAGTAGAACACATCTGGCTTTATTAAATACAGAACTACACTGCCACCATGAGAGAGTGAGAGAGAGGTGGTTAGAAGGTCATCAGTTGCTTTCAAACCTTGTGTTTCTAGTTTGGAAATATAAAAGCAGTTGGGCATTTTCCCCCCAGAAGATACCAGCCTCATTATATTCTGGTAGATAGCCCTTTGGCAAATAATTCTTTTTATTAGCTTCCAGTGAGTTTTGCTTCCTATTCCTCCACAAATACCACCTCACCAACAGTTTGCACATTTTTAAGGTTGAAGTGGTTTCTAAAACCGTTATGCCATCCCTGGCTGGTTTTGAAATCCTTCCATCGGAAGTCTGTCTTCTCTGGCAGGAGGTTTGAACTGTGACTTGAGACCAAGAGCTTTTCTTTTTTCCTTTTTTTGCCATGTATTGCCATTACTGCCATATTTCTGGTTCATTTCCTCCAGGCATACGTTTAGTGCTCTTTCAGTCTTCATTCAAGATTTATCACACGTACTTTGCTGTCACTGTAGCAGTTATAGTGTAACGTGATGACCTGACTTCACAAATTTGTTGAATCTTGATTGCACATGTGGATTTCTTGAGATATTTATGTGCCACCTTGGAGCTGGACATGCCACTCCTCGGTAAGCAACCTGGTTTTTCTCCCAGCATGGAAAAGGATTGCTGTTTCTTTGGTTAGGTGCCAAATGAAACGGTTGGATTGCCTTCAGATAGGTCGTGTTATATGGAAAGGAGGTATCTTAAAACATTAGTTTAAAAAAACAAAACACTAGAATTGCAGTCAGCCTCACAAAATGCACACACCGAGGGGCCCAGAACTGGGGCCAAGAGAACACAGTCCAGTCTCCCATCTCACACTCGTATGAAATGGTGGCTGCCGACCTTCTCCACTATTTAATCTGAGTACTGCTGAGTTCACGTGAAGTGTGTCTATGATGAAACTCCGCCCTCTCATTTAATCATTTTTACAGATTCGTAAACTGAGGTTTGGAAAGGTGAAACGACTTGCCCAAGACTCAGAGCTGGGAAAAGGCGGCATCAGATAGAAACTCAAAAACTGTAAGCCACGCTGCAAAGCCAGAGGCGGTAACAAAATGGCGACTGCAGCCAGTCTGCAAGCCTGAGCGAGACACCCCGACCCGCGCTATCACCCCGAGCGCCGTTACGTAACGGCGGCGGAGCCCGCGGGGCGGGGCGCTGACTCACGCGGGCGGCGGTCACGTGGGCGGTCACGCGAGCTGGTGCGCTGCGGGGCTGGCGTCCGGCAGGGGTCTCGTGCGCCTGCCAGCGGCCGCCCGGCTGCCTGGATCTCCTTCCCGTGCGCTCCACCCGCCCACCGCGACCGAGGCAGGAGCTCCCAACCTGGGGCTCGCCAACTTCCTCCCCTCGCTGGCGTTCGCGTCTCGAACGTTGTGTGCCGGAACAAAGGCCCCAGGGCGGAAGCGAGGGCCTGAAGCTGAAAGGCCGAGCTTGGAGGGAGCACGTGCTTGGAGGGCCTCCCAACTGGCTGCTGAGGGGCGTGGAAGGGTCTTCTGCGAGTCTCCTAATTTAGGCTTACACCCCGAGTTTGATTACAGTTAAAGGGCTACCTTCCTCCATCCCTCAAAAAATTTTTCTTACTTCCCCATCTCTCTCTCCTTCCCACTATCAGAGTAGTAATGTCTAGGGACCCTCCACAGGAGAGAATCCTTTTGTTCCCCTCGGAGGAGGGGGGCGGGAAGCAGGAGACAGCCAGATTATGTTAGAAACTGCAGTATAAAGGAGCACACCCAGTACAATAACCACTCCCTCTTAAACCCTGCCAACCTCACCTAGATTAGTCATCAAAAGTCTTACTTGCCATATCTAATACCCTTTTGTTTATCCTTGCTGATTTTTAAAATACCGACAACTTTTTCTAGTTTGCCTTAGACAATTTTTTCTAGTTTTCCTTCCACCTTTATATCCTTCAGGGCTTCTCCTTTCTTCTAGTGAATCGTAACTGGGGCTGTCTCCCTAGCATGTCCTTTGTTCACTTCTCATCAGTGATCCTCAAAGTGGAGGGAGAAGGTAAAGACATTTTATCTATAAGGGCAAATCCAAATTGAGGGGAGGGTGTCCTTGATTACTTTCAAAAGTACATTTAATATTCATTCAGAAAGTATCTATTGAGCACTTACTATGTGGCATGCGCTGTGCCAGACAGTAGGATGCAGATTGAAACTCACAGAGTCTCTGGGAGTTAGAAGAAGCCAACATAGAAATCCTTGAGGAACAAACTTGATGATCCACGAATTCATGTGCAAAGACAAACTGTTTACAGCTATCAAGGAAAAGCAGGGAACTGTAAGAGGGGATCTTATTTAGATGAGAGGTCAGGAAAGGCCTTTCTGCGGGGGCCTTTAAGCTGAGGCCTAGGGAATGAGCAGGAGTTAGTTAAGAGAAGAGTTCCACACAGAAGAAGAGAGTACAGTCATGCGCTGCATAACGACTTTGGCTAGTGATGGACCACACATAGGATAGTGGTCCCATAAGATTAGTACCATGTAGCGGAGGTGTGTAGTAGGCTATACCATCTAGGTTTGTGTAAGTACACTCTATGACATTCGCACAACCACAGAATCGCCTGCGGACACATTTTTCAGAACTATGCCTGTCGTTAAGCAACGCATGACTGTATAAGTGAAAGCCCTGAAGAAGGGAGCTTGGTGGTAGGAGGAACTGAAAAGAGGGCTCTGTGGCCCAAGTGTGTCTCCAGCCCACTAGCAAAGGTCACGACAGACCTGCCTGAGCTTTGCTTATAGGCCATGGTGATGACTAAGGATTTAATCCCAAAAGCAATGGGAAAAGCCTGAGGGATTTAAATAGAGGGTTCTGTTTACATTTGAAAAACTTACCACCGCTGCTGCTCGCTGCTGGTGGAAGATGGCTGGATGAGAAAAAGAGTGGAATCAGGAAGACTACTTAGGAGGTTCCAGGGAGTGATGTTAGCAGTTTGGGCCAGAGATGTTACAGAAGAAAGAGAGAAGTAGATGGATTCAAGATATATTTGGAGACAGAATGTATCACACATGGTGGTAGATTCACGGGGGCCAGTGAGAAAAGGTGTCATTGAGGGAGAAAAAATGACAAGGAGAACCCAGGGTTTCTGGTTTGAACATCTGAATGGTGATATAGGGAGCACTAAAGAAAAACAGAGTTAGGGGAAAAGATACAGAATTTGGTTTTGGATATGTTAAGTTTGAGATGTCTGTGAGTTGTATAAACGGAGAAGTATGAGGTTAGCTATTATAAGCCTGGGACTGAGAAAAGAGTTCTTGGTTGGAAATAGAAGTTTGGGATTCATTGGGATACGCAGTGGTGTGCTGGAGCTGGCTCATACAGGCTTGTGAGAGCTGATTGTTAATTTTTCATGAATTCTGTGAACCAGTTGTTAAACACATCCATTATTGACAATAAAATTGTATAAACATAATTTAAATAAATTAAATTAAAAACAAAGGTTGAATACTCAAAACTCATCACTTTGTAATTATTTTACTACAGTTTTGTATTAGTTTGCTAGGACTGCCATAACGAAATACTAAGTAGTTTAAACAACCCAAATTTATTTTCTCACAGTTCTGGAGGCAAGAAGTAAGATGTCAGTAGGTTTGGTTTCTTCTGAGGCCTCTGTTCTTAGCTTGCAGATGGCTGCCTTCTTACTGTGTCCTCACGTGGGTGTTTTTCTCTGTGCATGTGCAACCCTGTGTCCAAATTTCCTCCTCTTATACTGACACTAGTCAGGCTGGTTTCAGGCCTACCTTAATGGCCTTATTTTAACTTAATCATTTCTTTAAAGGCCCTGTCTCCAAATACAGTCACATTCTGAGGTACCTGGGAGTTAGGGCTTTAAAATATGAATTTGGCGGGGGACACAATTTAGCCCATAACAATTTTACCATTATCTATGCTCTTGAAGTTATTTACCTCTATTGTCTCTGTGTGGTAGAAACACCATAGTATGAGTTGCTATCTTAAAATCAGCCATGGTGGGAGTATTTACACCAGAGAAATCAGCAAATGCTGAAAATTAGGGCTTTTTGTTCTCCTTGAAGAGCCTGTTGTGTTACCAGCACAAAACAGCTACAGATGTTATTTAGTCTTCAGAGTATAATTTGAATGTGAAAAATGGGAAACACACATACACTCCTTTTGTTGAAGTGCTGTAAACTATTGCTGGTAGAGCTACAAAGAAAGTCTTCTGAGTGTCAATGATTTGTAGGAGAGGTGTATCAAGATGCTTTCCATTGAGTCACAGAAACTCTGACCAAATGGTAGTAAAGGAAATTTCATAAGGACGTTTATTAGTTCACAGAAAAATAAATCAAGGGGTAGTGGGGGCTTCTGGAAAAGAAAGTTCCTTGCTCTTAGGAGAAAGCAGCAGGAAGGAACTCTCTTGGGCTGAATGTGAATGGTTGCACTTGGGTCCCTGATTGCTGCCTGCAGCCATCACAAGACAATGGGAAGACTCAGTGGTAGGAGAAGGCAGTACTGCAGACTGCAGTCCTGGAAGACATAGTGGAGCGGAAGGATCAGCCAGCCTTGAGGCTCAGCTCTAGCTCCCTGTCTCCAGTGGTCTAATGGACATCTCCATGTGATGTTCCACTACCACTGCAATCTCAGGAAGTCCCAAAGAAATTGATCATCTTCTGTAGCTCCAAGTTCAAACCTCTCTGTTCCTTTCAGTGCCAATGCTATTTTCCCAGGAACCCTAGATTCAGCCAAACCTTGGATATATTCCTCTTCTTCATACTCCATGTCCATTCAATTTCTGAGTATTGTTGAACTTTCCTCTCCATCCACCCCCTTATTCCAGGCCTTTATCATTCCCAGCTTCCTAATCTTTCTGCTTCAAGATTCTTCCACCTTTGATGAATCATACATAGTATATATATATATCTCCACTTCTCTCTATCCAATAGATGGACTACCTATTGTTAGAACTAATAAGGTAGCAGGATACATGACATATATAGAAATATCAATAGTTATGACAGTGTTGTACTAGAGCAGAAATAGCCAGATATTTACAGATCAATGGAAAATAATGAAAGAAAAATATATGATAAAGATGGCATTTCAAATCAGTAAGGAAGGATAGGATGAATCAACAATGGGTGTTGAGAAAACTGACTCCCCTTTTGGCAAAATGTTAGATCCCTACCTCACACTATTCACAAAATTTATTCCAGATGAATTAAAAACTAAAAAAAAATTTAAATGCCAGAAGAATACACAACAGAATATTTTCATAACCTTAGAGGTGAGAAAGGCTTTTCTAAACCAGACTCACAATTCAAAAAGCCTTATGGAAGAGACTGACAGCTTGGAATACATAGAAGTGTCAAATTTAAGTTGACACTTTATAAACAAAGTGAAAAGAGAAACTAAGAAAATATTTTCAGCATGTATAAAAGACAAAAAGTTAATGTATGTATGTGGTGGTTTTAAAATATGCCCACAAATTCTTTGATACTCCTCCCTTTAAGAGGTGGAGCCTAATTCTCTTCCACTTGAGTGTGGCCTGGACTTAGTGACTAGCTCCTAAAGAATAGAATAAAGTGGAAGTGATGCTGTGTGACTTTGGAGGCTGAGTCATAAAAGGCACAGTGGCTTCCATCTTTGTCTCTTTCTCTCTTGGGTCACTTGCTCTGGGAGAAATCAGCTGCCATATTGTGAAGACACTCAGGCAGCTCTGTGGAGAAACCCATATGGCAAGGAACTGTCAACATGGCCAACAGCAGTGTCAGTGAGCCATCTTGGAGGGAAATCCTCCAGCCCCAGTCAAGCCTTCAGATAATTGTAGCCCTCGCCAACAGTTTGACTGCAGCCAAGCTAAGCCACTCTTGGATTCCTGATCCACAGAAACTAAGATAATAAGTGTTGTTTTAAGCTACTAAGTTTTGAGGTAATTTGTTATAATCAGTTAAGAATTGCATTTGGCTACAACCTAGATCCCCAAAACTCAGTGGCTTAACCAACTTTTGTCTCTTAAATAAATCTGGAGGTAGGCAGTTCAGGTTTGGTATGTCAGCTTCATAGTATTTTCAGTATTGAAGGGTGCTCTCCACTTTTGTTCTGGCATCTTAGCACATGGCTTATATTCTCCAGGTAATCTCACGGTCCCATGTGGTTGCTAGAACTCCAGGCATCACAGTTCTGTTTTAGACAGGAAAAAGAGGAAGAGGAGGAGGAAAAAGGGACTTTCTAGAAGTTTCACCTGATGACTTTCACTAACATGTCATTGACCTATCAGCAATGGAGGTTGAAAAATATTTTTCAGCTGGGCACAAGCTACCCCAATAATATAAAAGTTCTATTAGTTAGCTCAATAATGAGAAGACAAAAAACCCAATTAAAAAATAAGCAAAGACATAAAAAAAGACAAAATCGTCCCATTCGCAACAACATGGATGGGCCTGGAGGGTATTATGTTAAGTGAAATAAGCCAGAAAGAGAAAGACAAACACTGTATGATCGCACTCATATGTGCAATATAAACCAACACGTGGACAGAGAAAACTGTATTGTGGTTACCAGGGGCAATGGGGGTAGTGGGTGGGCACAAGGGGTGAAGGGAGACATATATATGGTGATGGACAAACAAAAATGTACAACCCAAAATTTCACAATGTTATAAACTATTAAAATATCATTAAAAAAATAAGCAAAGAGTTTGAAGAGACAGTTCTCCAAAGAAGATATACAAATGACCAATAAACACATAAAAAGATGTTCACCATCTTTAGCCATCAGGGAAATGGAAATCAAAACCACAATGAAATACCACTTCACATCCACTGGGATGGCTATAATCAAAAACACAGATAGTAACACATGTTGGCCAGGACGTGGAGAAATTAGAGCCCTCGAACGCTGCTGGTGGGAGTGTACAATGCTGCAGCTACTTCGGAAAACAGCTTGGCAGTTTCTCAAAAGGTTAAAGAGTTACCATATGATCCAGTAATTCTACTCCTTACAATTTCACTTGTAAGGAAAAATTGCCAGTAAACTAAGTTGAAATATCTGAGGTCAGGTTCAATTTGTAATAAATTTTTCAAGTGAAAATAGTTTCCTTCTAGGTATTTGCTTATATTTTATTTCAGGTTCCTAGCAAAATGCCTGTTACAGAGTAGGAACTCAATATATATAGTTGAATAAATGAATCAATATATTATTAATACTATAAATATTTTAGAATGAAATCTCCATGTGGCAAAGAATCACATCCTCCTTTGGAATCCATTCATAGCAGCATAGAATTCAGTATTTTGATACTAAGAGTATTATTTTTATATTGATACTCATTGTGTATATAACCAAGAGAAATGAAAATACACGGCCACACAAAAATTTGTACGTGAATGTTCACAGCAGAATTATTCATAATAGCCAAAAATTGAAACAACCCAAATGTGCACCAACTGATGAATGAAGAAATAAAATGAAATGTGGTGTAAACCATACAACAGAATATTATTCAGCAATTAAAAGGTATGAAGTACTGATACGTGCTACAACATGGATGAACCTTGAAAACACAATGCTAAGTGAAAGAAGCCAGTCACAAAAGACCATGTTGTATGATTTCATTTATATAAAATGTACAAAATAGGCAAATCTATAGAGACAGAAAGTAGATTAGTGGTTGCCAAGGGCAGGGGTGGATGGGGGGATTGGGACGGGATGGCTAAGGGGTACAGAGTTTCTTTTCGGGGTAATGAAAATGTTCTAAAATTGATCGTGGTGATGGTTACACAAGTTTGAGTATACAAAAAGCCATTCAATTGTAGATTTTAAATGGGTGAATTTTATAGTATGTAAATTATATGTTAACAAAACTGTTTAAAAACAGTTCTGTTAGTAAGAAAGAAGGCAAGAATGAATATCAGCTAGGCAACCGGCAGTTTCTGCACAGTTAATATCCAAATCATAAAGAGCTTCTACAAATCAATAAAAAAAATTAATGACTTAGCAGGAACATGAAAAAAGATATGAAAAGGCATTTCGTAAAATAAATACAAACAAATACAAATACATGGACATATAAAAAGAAACAACCTCACAAACAATCAAAAAATGCAAATTAAAATAATAATGACATACCTATTTTTCAACCTATTAAGATTGGCAAAGTATAAGTACATACCCTTTGAACAAGAAATTGCACCTCCTAAGAATGTATCCCACACAGCCATGTTACTGAAAGTGTGGTCCATGGATCAGAGCACTGGCATCACTTGAGGGGTCAGAATCTACATTTTAATGAGATCCTCAGGCAATTCCTATGCACATTAAAATTTAAGAAGTACTGCTACATGTATAAGTATGCATGCAGCAGAGTCAAGGTTTATCTATGAGGATTTTTATTGCAGCATTGCTTATAATGTTGACAATTTTTTTTGAAAGTTAATATTCATCAATGGGGAACAGTTAAAAAATTACCATGTATCCACATAATGGAAGACTAGACAACTATCGAAAAGAGATAGATCTATGACTAATGATATGAAAGATGTCCATGACATATTATTAAATGAAAATAATCCAGTTGGTGAACAGTATGTATGATTGATACCATTTTTGTTTTTTAAAAATTTATATATTTATTAATAAATGAGGGGCCGGCCCAGTGGTGCAAGTGGTTAAGTGCACACGCTCTTCTTCGGCAGCCCAGGGTTTGTGGGTTCGGATCCTAGGCGTGCACTGACACACCGCTTGTGAAGCCATGCTGTGGCGGTGTCCCGTATAAAGTAGAGGAAGATGGGCACGGATGTTAGCTCAGGGCCAATCCTCCTCAGCAAAAAGAGGAGGATTGGCTTGGATGTTAGCTCAGGGCTGATCCTCCTCACACAAAAAATAAAAAAATAAATAAATAAATGAGAGTGGTGCTGAGGGAGATCATGGGCTTTTATGTTCCTCTATATACATTTCTCTATTATTTGCACTTTTATTTTAATTAAATATTATTTTTATAGTAGAAGGAGATTCTATTTAGACCAGCCACTGGAGGAAGGATGTCATCAAAGAGGAGAACATGAAGTATTTAGCTCTCATTCCATGGTGTCGATTCAGTCCTTGTCAACGAAACACAAAATAAAATCTCCGATGGCTCCTCACGGCTTTCAGGATGAAGTCCAGATTCCTTAGTGTGATCCAGGTCTGTCTGCTGCTCCTACCTCATCCCCCTGAGTGCACCTACTGTTCCAGCCAGCAGAACCACTTGCCTTCCTTGCACAGGCATTGAGTTCTTTCTGCTCCAGGTCTTGCCAAAGGTGCTTCCTCTGTCTGGAATCTCTGCCCTGAATATATGATATCATGTATACACATGTACTATCAAATTATCCCCTGGCACTTAATTAAAGCTCTATAAGTGTTGGGTATCATTATTATAACCTGTGTCTCATTATATTGAATTACTTGTTTACTTAACCCTGTCACTGGACTGTAAGCCCCCTGAAGACAGGAACCCTGTTTTAATGTGCTTGAGTACAGCCTGACACAGAGTAAGTGCTTAACGAAAGTATGCTAACTGATACATCCCTAATCCTTATGTCACATCTTTTCTTCCCACCTAATGTGTCTTTCTCTTTCTTCTGGGCCAAGGAAAATCACATTCTTTCCCTTGACTACAGCAAACCGGGAGGATTTTTCCTTTCTGTGCACTCCAACAATACAATTACTCTCATTCGCATAGCACTTCTAACCCTTCAAAGTGCTTTCATATATACCCTTTCTTATTCCTCACAACAACCCAGTACTGAGGAAACAGGCAAGGGGTGGGGAGGAGGCAGGGAGATGTCTGCTGAGGGTCAACTGTGTGCAAGGCAATTTACCCACATTGTCTCTTTTAACCTTAACAATCCTTTAAGGTGGACATTTTTATCCCCATTTCACAAATGTGAAAATTAAACCTTGTAAAATTATATAACCTGCTGAGAAACACACAGCTGTTAAATGGTAGAGTGGGTTTGAACCTGGTGTCTCTAACCTGGTGTCTGCTAGTTCCATGACATCAAGTGAACAGATTTGTCTATTAACTATATTAGCCAAGCTGGACAGGGCAGGAGGTAATATTTCCTGATTTCTAGCCCCCGTCTTCCGTCAGACTGCTTTGCATGTTACATAAAGTCCATAAGGCACGCTTTAACAATCACATGATATCTTGCCTTGTTGCCTAATTGTTTTATTTATATTAGATTCTACAAGATTGGTAATATCCTCCTTTCCCCAGGCAGGAATTGTGTCATAAATATTAACCTCCCTGAGCCTTAGTTTCCTCGTCTTTCAAATATCTATCATACAGGACTGGTGTGGAGATTAAATATCACTTGTAAAGGCATCTTACACAATGTCTGGTGCAAACTCTCCAGAAATATTTGTCACATCTCAACCTTTCTCTCTTTCATTGCCTTCAACAAGTCACGCAGGCCTGAGTGCCTGGGTGTGGCTGTATCCATTCTTGTTGATTATTTATATAACAACGTTGGATGAGGACTATTTTGGTGGGCACAGGTTGGATTTTCTCCCTTACTATCCCCCAAAAGGTTTGCATCAAACCAGTCCAGGGTGTGAGGAGGAGTGAAATGCGTCCAAACTGGGTTTAGCCGTCTACACGTACTTCAGCATGGATTAGACGCATACTCGATCCCTGTCAGTTGGTATGGTTAAGCCTATTTTACAGATGAGAAAAAGGAGGCTTAGGTAAACTGCTAGTAAACTGCAGATCTGCTAAGACTCCAACCCAGGTCTCAAGATACTCTGGACATGGGCTCCTTCCACTCCACCAAGCCACCTGCCAAAGGTCCACCTGAAAATAACTAACGGGTGGGACCTATGGGGGGGTGGAGTGGGGTGGTGGTGGAACCAGACCACTTACCTTGGTATTCCTTGCTCCTCTTTCCCCCCTTTTTGCTTCAGGGGATGAGCTTCTTTTGAATTCACAGTACTTTTGCATTGAGGGTGTCCAGTCCCTTTCAGGTCTCAGGTGACGTAATTGCTAGCCCCGCCTCCTCTCGCTGCACTGTTCTAAGCCCCGCCCATTATTTTATGCCCTGTGCCAATTATTGCGCCTCATCCGGGTTCCTGGGATTGGGAAATTGGGCTCGTAACCAGGCAACTACTGATCCACCGGCTCCGGGGCGGATTTTCAGCTCAGTTCTTCGCGGCTCTTCTCTCAACCGTCGCCGCTGCGGAAGCCAAGTGCCCCGCCCCACCCCCGTTGCCATAACAGCAGTACACAACGCCTCCTTCCCCCTTGCTGCTCTTTCAAAACACTCTTTCCCTTTTGGGGCCAAGACCCTCTCCATAACCGCTTCTAGTTGAGCAGGACCAGGGTCTGCGCCCCTTTGCGAAGGATTGGGTGGGAGGGTTGGAGACTGCGTCAGGCTGGTGTCCCAGAGGAGATGGGAAATGGGGCTAAGCAGGGTGGGCGAGTTAGAGGAAATGAGTGGAGCAGGGGTTAAGGATGGAAGGGGAGGGGAGTGTAGGGATCGGTAGGAGAGATTGAAGGAGAACGTGGTTTAAGGAGAAGGTGGGAAGAACTGAGGAGAGAAGAGTCCAGGAAGCAGGGAGACCACGGAGCTGCTAGAGGCGAGTTGGAGCCACTGTGAAGGGCAGGAAAAGTCTCAGGGGTCTGGGGAGGCATCCTGAAAGGAGAAGGCTCCTTGGTGGGAAGTATGAAGTGGAGGTTGGGAGTCAAAAAGAGATGTTCACAGGGATGAGGAAAGAAGCATAGTCAGGAGGAGGTCAGGGGTGATGGGGTGATGGGAGGGGTAACTGGTCAACCAAGGTGAGGGAGCTGAGGAATGGAAGACGCTGAGGAGACTTTCTTTCTCAGGACGAGGACCTTGCTTGATCTGATTCCAGAGCCTTCAGCAAGGAAGAAAGATGTCAGATGAAGATGATCTGGAAGACTTTGAGCCAGACGAGGATGATCTGGAAAAGGAAGATGATGAGAAGGAGACAGAGGAGTGGGAGGACTACAGGAAAGAGGGAGAAGACTTCACTGAGGAAGTGAGCGCATAGAAACAGGGGTCCTAGGGCTAAGGGATGGGGTTGGGCTGGAAAGGGATGCCTGACTCCATTTCCTCCTGCAGTGGATGCCCACTCCCCTCACGGAGGACATGATGGAGGAAGGGCTTTCTCTGCTGTGTAAGACAGGCAATGGACTGGCTCATGCTTATGTCAAGCTGGAGCTTAAAGAGAGGTGTGTTTATGGGGGACCAGAAGAGGACTGAGGTTGTAGAGCCCGGTCTCCTTTCTCACTCTCATTTCTGGGTGTTTCAGCTGAGGGTTTGGATCTCGCTCCTCCCGGGCCAGTGGGGACGGAAGGATAGAATTTACTTTTCAGGAGCCCTGTGACTTGCTGTGTCAGAACTGGCCTGGGAATTGGAGGCTGTGAGGGTATGTTGGGGGATTCCTACTGGACTCCCACACTTGTCCTTTAGAGTGTTGGTTCTCAGCCCTTCACAGACACAAGGTCCCTGTCTATTGTTAGGAACCCACCTACCTTCCCCTCCTCACTCCTCCCATCTGTCACCTCACCTATTCTTCTCCCTGTTATAAGCCATCTCCTTATTGCCTCTGCTTTAGCATCCCTGCCAGTCCTCGCTGGATTTTTAACCCTAACCCTGGCCTCTGCCATCTCCTAGAGATCTGACAGACATCTACTTGCTGCGTTCCTACATCCATGTGCGCTATGTGGATGTTTCTGAGAACCACCTGACAGACTTGTCCCCACTCAATTACCTCACCCACCTGCTCTGGCTCAAGGCTGATGGCAACCGGCTGCGGAGTGCCCGGCTGAACGAGCTGCCCTACCTGCAGATTGCCAGTTTTGCCTATAACCAGATCACTGACACTGAGGGCATCTCTCATCCTCGTCTCAGCAGCCTGGATCTCAAAGGTGGGCCTTAGGATGGCTACACAAGATTCGTTCCTTCCTAGCCTGGGGCCAACAGAAGTGGGCAGTGTGGTCCTTGGCTTTGCCACATAGCAATCTGCACTCATTCATTCATTCATTCAGACAGAGATTCATTATAATTCATTATGATAGTTCTATGTGCTGGAGATAGAACAGTGAACAAAACAAAGAAAATCCCCATTCTCATGTAGCTTACATTCTAGTCAGGGGAGACAGACAATTATTGATGAACACAATAAATAAGTAAATTATATAGTATGTTAAAAGGAGATATATGCTTTGGAAAAAATAGATCAGGGTAAAGGGAATGGGGGGGCACAGGTGGCAATTTCAAACAGGTTGGTCAGGACAAGCATCATTGAGAAGCTGACATTTGAGCAAAGACTTGACAGAGGAAAGGGAGGTAGCCATGTGGATTACTGGTCACTCTTCACTCACTCCTCAAAGGCTTAGAGGGAGGTGTCCATCAGCCCCTTGGACTACCAGACCATTTGCCCCAGGGCCCCGAAAGCGTTAAGTCTGGAGCTGTCCCTCCTCATATCCACCTGGCATTAGAGGGAGAGGATGATGCAGAGTCTCCCAAAGTTCAGGCTGTACTGCTGAACATTCGGAGTGGCGCTTTGAGCTCTTGACACCCTCCTGCTCCTCAGGAAACCGCATCCACATGGTGACAGGTCTGGACCCCCAAAAGCTGATCAGCCTGCACACACTGGAGCTTCGGGGGAACCAGTTGGACAGCACCCTGGGAATCAACCTTCCTAAGCTGAAGAACCTCTTCCTGGTAGCTCACAGGGTCAGAGGGTGGTTGGTGCAGGAAAGAGGGCACTGTCCTGGGGCCAGGATGCCTGGCTTCTAGTAGCTCAGCTACTAACCTCATCATCATAGTGATAATTGGTATCATTTGTTGAGCCCTTACCTGGTGCCAGGTGCTGTGGGGATGCAAAGTTAAAACATACAATGTGCTTACCACCTAGCAGGGCTGATAATACATAAGGTGTGGACAATGCGGAAACGGCTTGCTTTGATACAGGTAGCAGCATAATGTGCCATAACTGAGGTACAGACCTCAGGCTGAGGAGGCCACTTAAATGTTTAGTCTTTTAGACTCCTGAACTTCTTCATTCCTGAATGGTGCTGAAGCCATTTCTCCTCAATAGAGCAGTGGGGGCTCTTGGGCCCGGGGGTAGGTTGAAGCATCTCCTCCATAATCAGATGTGGCTTTGGGGGGATGAGCAGTAGGGGGTTACTGCTGACCACTCTCTGAGCTGGAAGCTTCTCCTGGACTTCTTTACTCTCTACACCAATCTCTACCCGCCTTGCTCCCCTCCTGCACCGCTCCCTCCCTAGTTCTTAGATTTCCTCTTTTGCTGCATCTCTTTCTGACTTCTCTTCCTCCCATATCCAGGCCCCCCTTTCCTAATCTATCTCCTGTATCCTGGAGTCTAGGCCCAGAACATGCTGAAGAAGGTGGAAGGCTTGGAGAACCTTACCAATCTCACTACCTTGCATCTTCGAGACAACCAGATTGAAACTCTGAGTGGCTTCTCCAAGGAAATGAAATCACTGCAGTACCTCAACCTGAGGTATGCACCCCCTCCAGGCCCCACCTTGCCCCTACCCTGACCAGGAGAAGCTTTTGACCCTGTGTTCCTCCCTGGCCCCAATCCCTCAGTCCACGCCCACTCCTAGATCCTCATCCTCCATCCTGATCCTCCCTCTTCCTTTCTTTTACATTCAGTTCTAATTGCAACACTAAGACCTTTACACCTGCGACTCTTGAATCCTTATTCATTCACTCCACAGTTATGGAGGATGTGCTATGTATCAGGCCTGGTGCTGTGTTTTGGGAACATTTAAAGGAATCAGAGATGGTCCCAGTTCTCAAAGGACTCACAGTCTGGCTCCAACTCTCTGTTCTTGGCCCTATCCCATATAAGTTTCCACTGCCCTTCTCCATCTCCTGGGTCCCAATTCCCCTTCCCATTTCCTGCCTCTCTTCTCCTGAGCCCCACCTGTAAGGGGTGATACAAAACACTTACTGGTATAAAACCTAGGATGTGCTCAGATTTGAGAGAGAAGAGTATTTGAAAGAAAATCTCTAGATAGAAAGGCACTGGGGATCAGGAGCCATTTCTTTCGGTATCTCTTTCAGTATCTCTTGTCAGCTGGAGGATTTTTTTGTGTGTTCCTTAAGCAAAGATGTAAGGAAGCTGCCTCCTTAGTCAACAAGGCCAGATCCTCCAGGCTGCCAGCAGAAAGAGAATCTCCAAGTAGGGAGAGGTGGTTGCCCTTTGAAGCCCCAATTCCTGCCCTGACTCCTGGAACAAGCTCTTGCTAATTAGCTCTGCCACATTGGTCTGGTAGGGTGGGGGGAGGTGCTGTTTTCCTGTCAATGGTCTAGACAGGGAGGATAGACCTTCCTCAGTGGCTGTTAACTGGGGTTGTTTGGAAGTAAGTGTAGAGGGGAGGGGTTGTCTCAATGACTCAGAGGTGCCTCTGGGGCCAGAGATACTAAACCTCCTTCAAAGCACAGGATGGTCCAGCACCAAGTGCATGCAGCACTCCCATGAGAAACACTGCATGAGGTTGAACACCTCCACTGAGATAAGGCTGAAACATCTAAACCTGATTTCATAAAGCCGTGAGGCAAGAACATGAAAATAAACAGAGTACTGTACAATGAGGCGCATTAGGACATGAAGCTTGTCCTTCTGGCAGGGAAGCTCTGACCCATCCCTAGCTCTAGGTTCCTTCCTGTGGGGAGCACTAGCATAGCACCCACCTCCATGGGCTTAGATCACAGTTCCTTCTCCACTGGCCTGAGTCCTCCTTTCTACCCTCTGATTAGGTGACACAGAAGTCTGTCCCTGCAAGGGAGATTTAGCCCCTCTCCCACAACTACAAGTACAGAGGTGTGACCTAGCTTTGCTGTTCCAAAAGGATAAATAAGACACGTTACAGAATAGAATATGGCACTTAGGGATTCCTTGAAGGGCAGAAGCAGGACAGGAGTAGGGTGGGACAGCACCTCTGCAGCAAATCTGGCAGTGCTTGGCAGGCCAGTCCACAGAGGCTGTGTTTCCAGGGAAACCGGAGCCCAGTGGGAGGTTCTCCCAGAGGCCTCATTCCTGGCAGCTGGGTTCCAAAGCCCATTATTCCCCGGTGAATCCCTTCTGACCTTCTGACCGCATCGGCAGGGGCAACATGCTGACTGACCTGAGGGAACTAGCCAAGCTTCGGGACTTGCCCAAGCTTCGAGCCTTGGTGCTGCTGGACAACCCATGTACAGATAAGAACGACTACCGCCAGGAGGCCCTGGTGCAGATGGCACACCTCGAACGCCTGGACAAGGACTTCTTTGAGGAGGAGGAACGGGTTGAAGCTGATGAGATCCGTCAGAGGATGAAGGAGGAACAGGAGCAGGAGGCTGAGCCTGAGCATGACTTGGAACTGGACCAACCGATGTAGCAGCAGTTGTTCTAGCCTCCAAGGATAGTAAGGAAGCCGGCAGGGAGGCAGGAAGAGGGGGACAAGGGCCTGGCATATAGGGGAAAGAGAACTTGCTATAGGAGGAGGTGGGTGAGGAAGGGATAAGGGAAGGAGAACCCTTGGAGAGACCACGGTTAGGAGTCAGGGGGTGTCTCAGAAGGAACCAGAAGGGCCTGGGAGGAATTGAGAAAAGGCTTAGGAGATACATCAGGAGGCCAGAAGAGTAAGTGAAAAGACTTGGGGTGGCAGGCAGAGATGTGGGTGTGGAGTAGGCAGCCACACCTGATATGGAGTGAGGATCAGCTGGAAAGGACGGGTCTGGGGCATGCTGGTGGATGGGGGAGGGAGGTCGGTGGTGGTATATAAGGAATGCAGCTGGGCCTAGGAGAGAAGGAAGGAGAAGATCCTGCACTAAAAATCTGAAGCTAAAAATAATAGGACTCAGGGGTGGGGGCAAGAAAGGAGGGCAGGGTGAGGCAGAAAGACTGAGGAGAGGAGCCCAGGGAAGTGTGGCAGCTGGGCACTTCACATCGGGCAGAGGCAGCAGTGGGAATGCAGTAGAGCCCAGAGGCTTGACTTCTGTCCTCTTTCTCCAGGAGATCAAAGACACTGGCCCCAAGACCTGAGAAGGCTCCCAGTCAGGGGGGCCACCACATTTACAGAGGATGCCTTCTCTTTCCCCAGACCTGGGAATTCATCACAGCCTGCCGCCCAGACTCTGTGAAGGGCACCTGGGCAGTCCTGTGGGTGGGCTTGAGCTCTGCCTAGAGCCTAGGCCGCGGGCAGCCCTCTGGCAGGTCTGAGTGCGAGTCAGGCCTGGAAGAGCTGAGGGGATGCTTGTCGAGTTGGCTGCAGAGGAGCTGCAGAGGCGGGCTGGGGGGTTAGGAACAGTTCCATGTTCTAATAAAGAGACATTTTGATACTCTTGTGTCTGACCAGGTTTGTGAGACCGAGTTTGTCGTGGGCTTCATTGGATGATTACTAGTGTGAGGCTATGCCTCTTACTTTCGAGGGGGTCGGGGCGTGGGTATGAGCGCGCGTGGGCGCTGGGGGCCAGGTCCTGGGTCGCCCCCCAGCCCCTCCCCCATCGCTCTCCCCCGATCCCTCCTCCATCTCACTCCCATCGGTCCCCCACCCGCGCTCCTACGTGCGCCTCCGCCGGCGGCTCCTGACTCATCGGGGGCTCCGGGTCACATGCGCCCGCTCGGCCCTATCGGCGCCTCCCCCCGCCCGTCCCCCGCCTGCCGCCCGGGAGCCGCAGCCGCCACCGCCGCCACTCCCGCTCTCAGCGCCGCCGCCGCCGGCACCACTACCACTGCCACCGCCACCGCCACCGTCACCAGCTGAGTCGCAGCCCCAAGGTGAAGCCCCAACCAGACCCCCGCGCCTCTCCAGCCCCCTCCCTTCCGCCGTGCCCCCAGTCCCTCTCCCCTGGTCTGCGCGCATCTCTCGCCCCGTGGCGCTGCGCACCTGCTCCATCCCCCGGGCACCCTCCTTCTCCAGCCTTCTGGGGTCGCTCCTCTCGGTTTCTGGCCGTCGACCCCTCCTCATTTGGGCGCCAGGCCTCTCCGCACCTGCTTCTTTTTAACTGCGCCTTTCTCCACCTTTACCTGTCCCTCTCCCCACGCCCTTCTTCGCCTCCGGTTCTGTCGCTGTTAAGTTTGGGGTCTCCCCGGGCTGTGCATTTTTATCCTGGCACGTCCCTTGGCTTTGCACCTGGGGAAATGTCTTCTCTCACCCCACCTCAGCATCCCCAGACTTCCTCTAGACTCCTCTCTCCCACTCCGCCCCCACCTCGCCCCTCTTCTTTTGCATTGCCTCTTTCTGTGCACGGGGGAGGGATGGGAGGAGGGGAGAATTGGTCTAGGGGCAGGGAGAGAAAGGGCCCAGCATCGCCTCTGCCCCCGGGTCTCTCCTCCTCCGTCCCCAATGCAACCCCCAGGGACTGATGGCCTTCCCGAGGACCCTCTCCCCAGACTTCTCTACTGTACATCTCTCGGGAAGAGGAGGGACGTGGGTTTGGGAAAGAGACTGGGACCCCGGAGTGGTGGCTGGGGTGTTAAGTTGGGGTGGGATGGGGTCTCTGGAGGAGAGGCCCCGGCTGCCCAGACAACCCATCCTCTTCTTGGCTCCAAGGAGAAATGCAAGCCTGGCAGCCATTCTGCTCTGAAGCGATCTAGGGGAACCCCACCAGCCGGCTGCCAAAGCTGCTGAGGGGGTGAGGGAACCACTGCTGTGCCCCTCCCCTCCTCACTGCGGTGTCTTCCAATCTCGTCGTTTGATCTTACCCCGCCCCCCACTGCAGTGACCTCCCCTTCCTCACTGCATTGACCTTCCCCTTTTCCCATGGCGGGCGGGCGGGGGGGCGGGGGGGAATCCCTTCGACAGCCGAAAACTGCAGCCAGCTCCTCCCCACCCCCCACCCACTGCAGTAACCTCTTTCCCATCCCTCCCAGCCTCTGGCCCCTCCCACTGATCTCAGGCTCCACCCTTCTAAGCCTCATCTTTCTCCTTCCTTCCTTTCCACCCAAGGAAATCCCAGCCATCATGTCCATAGAGAAGATCTGGGCCCGGGAGATCCTGGACTCCCGTGGGAATCCCACGGTGGAGGTGGATCTCTACACTGCCAAAGGTAATGGGCAGGGCAGGGCATGGGCCTTCGCACAGCCGCCATGCTTGGTTCCCTGTGGCAATGGGGTGCTGGGCCAGGCTCACAAGCCTGCATTGTGGGGGCTGGATCCTCCTTGTCCAGGGGAGCTGGGATAGGCAGCTCTCCTTTCTGGTTTAGTGTCTGAGACGTGCCCTACCTCTGCACGTCTGTGTGCGCACCTGTCTGTGTGTGCATGTGTGTGCTGCCTGCGGAGCTTCATTTCTGTGGGTTCCTACTTGTGCATGTGGGACCTCAGTGGGGCAGATGAGGAGGCACTGTGCATCTGCCTCCTTGTGTGTGTGTGTGTGTGTGTGTATGAGGGAGCAGTGTGGGGAGAGGATTGGAGGTGGCAGGCAGGAGTTTAGAGCTGGAAGGCTGAAAGGACACCACCTGGTCCCTGTGGTGTCCTTCTCTCTCCCTTCTTATTCCATGTTTCTCTTCCAGGTCTCTTCCGGGCTGCGGTGCCCAGTGGAGCCTCCACGGGGATCTATGAGGCCCTGGAGCTGAGGGATGGGGACAAACAGCGTTACTTAGGCAAAGGTGAGGCCCTTTCTCTTTTCCAGGCTCTCCCACCCCTCAGCTTTATATTCCTGCCTCACACCAATCCCCAGCCTTCTTCCTGCATGCCTTCCTATCCTTTTCCCTTCTGACCCCTCCTGGCCTGACCCAGTCTGGCCTCTCTGCCTCTCCCCAGGTGTCCTGAAGGCAGTGGACCACATCAACACCACCATTGCACCGGCCCTCATCAGCTCAGTGAGGCCTGCTCTTTGCTGGGGGTCGTAGGACCAGGATCCTGGAAGGAATCCTGGATTAGGGGAGGAGGAAGAAGAGGGAGAAAGGCCCACCTCTTGGGAATAATGGTTACCAAGGGAAGGGTGGGGATGAAGACTCCTTACTGCCCCCTGCTCTGGGGGGTGGGGGTGGGGGCGTTGGTTCACGTCCCCTAATCCAGACAGGCTGCTGTCACAGGAAACTGGCTGGACCCTGGCTGGATGGGATCCTGTGTGTGGAGGGGGGCAGGCTCTGCCTTAGGGTCCAGCCTCCATCCTGGCCCTGGGTGATGGCGGCTCTGCCCACAGGGTCTCTCTGTGGTAGAGCAGGAGAAGCTGGACCACCTGATGTTGGAGTTGGATGGGACTGAGAACAAATGTAAGCAGGGACCAGGAGAAAGCGGGGCGGTACGAGGCTGGGGACATGTGGAGCAGAGAGAACTGAAGGGGCCAGTGCTGTGGGGGCTTCCTTAGGAAGGACTGTCAGAGGACTAGCCCTTCTTCCATCCCCCTCCCAAAGCCAGAGCAAGAGAAGATGCGTTTAACCGCAGTGGGAGGGAGTGACATGAGACAGAAGGAAGAACTTCTGTGCAGCATAAAGAGTGGGGAGTTGGCATGAGATAGTCTATGGCCTCAGGGATGTTTAGAAATACTTGCAGCTCTCTACCCTTTCCGGTCACCTCCTCTCTCCCTATCCCCCTTCCCTGCTGTTTTCGGGAGAGGATGGATGAGATGTCGCAGGAGTGGAGAGGGAGGAGAGGGTCTCCTTTACTGGCTCCTTTTTGGGAGTATAGGTGGAGGCAAGGGCTAGAAGAGGAAGGCGACATTTTTGCTCAGTGCCTTCCTCTGTAATCCCCCAGCCAAGTTTGGGGCCAATGCCATCCTGGGTGTGTCCCTGGCCGTGTGTAAAGCAGGGGCAGCAGAGCGGGAATTGCCCCTATATCGCCACATTGCTCAGCTGGCCGGGAACTCAGACCTCATCCTGCCTGTGCCGGTGAGCCTGCGTGCGCCATGCCTGTGCCCCTCCCAGGGGTGAGGGGGGGAGCATGAAACCTTGTGAGGTTGATGGGAGGAAAGTGAATTGGGACAGCTAAAGAGAAAGGATGGGGACATGAGACCCTGAGTCTAGGAAGCTGGGGGATGTTTGGGATTTGGGTTAACACTCCCAGGGGCGGAAAGGGAAATGCTCTGTGACTTTTCTGTCCTGTGACTCCCAGGCCTTCAACGTGATCAATGGTGGCTCTCATGCTGGGAACAAGCTGGCCATGCAGGAATTTATGATCCTCCCAGTGGGCGCCGAGAACTTTCGGGATGCCATGCGACTCGGGGCAGAGGTTTACCACACACTCAAGGGGGTCATCAAGGACAAGTATGGCAAGGATGCCACCAATGTGGGAGATGAAGGTGGCTTTGCCCCCAATATCCTGGAGAACAGTGAAGGTGAGGCCAGGAGCCCCATTCCCAACTCTTAAGTCTCACTCCATCCTGGGGCATCAGTAAGGGCCACACACTTCACTAAGTCCTAAGGAGTGTGGGTAGAGGATCCTTGAGCTGACTCCAAGAGGTACCAGTACTTGGAGTGGGTTGCAGAAGGACTGCCAAATTCACAAGTAGGCCCAGGAGGACAGTCTTCACCTGCCCAACGAGATCTGTTAGCAACTGTCAGTTCTCACTGGAGCCCCTCGCAATGCTGGGATGTGGTCCAGGTGATCTGTGGGATCCATCCTGGCATTTACTCCATAGGATTCTCAGTTTGATGAGATTTGCCAAACTCCAGGGAATCCATTCCAAAGCTATCCCATTCCCACCCCAACTTCTTAGGCCTCTGGGATCTCTAATTTTTCTCTGCCCTGGGAGAAACTGTGTAGTGAATAGAAACAATACAGGTAGTGGTTAAAAGTTAAGGTTCTGAGGCCAAATTACTTAGATTGAACCTTGACTTGAAGTGTTACTGGCTGGTGATCTTTCTTACTTACCTTCTCAATGCTTGGTCTTTGTTATCTGGAAAATGGGAATAGTACAGTATCTACTTCATAGCATCGTTGTGAGGATTAAATGAGATCATACAGTCATGTGTCACTTAATGACGAGACACGTTCTGAGAAATGAGTAGTTGGGTGATTTCGTCGTTGTGCGAACATCATAGTGTGTATTTACATAAACCTATATGGTATCGCCTACTACACACCTCGGCTATAAGGTACTAATCTTATGGGACCACCGTTGTGTATGCGGTCTGTTTTTGACCAAAACTTCGTTATACGGTGCGTGACTGTATATGTAAAGTGGTTGGGTGACACAGCCCTCAATAAATGAGAGCTATTAAAAAAATATATATTATTATCAGAATTCCATTCCTCTGCCTTCCTGGAAGAAGGCTTGCTCTTCCCAGACCTGGGGATAACCCCACCAACAACCTTAGCCAGACTTCTCCCCAGCAAGTCCTCCACCTCTGCTCTGACTTTCTTTCTTTCCCTCATTCCTCCTTGCCCACCCTTCCTGCTGATAATCTCAC